GTCATTTCAAAAAGTTTAAAGCAGCTGCTTGAACGCTAAAAAATAAATAGTTTCTGTAACGAATTGTGAATGCTAATGAAAAATGGATTCAACACGACAACCCTAAATGCAAAAAATCTTATGCGAGACCTGGCCAACCAACCAAATCAAAGTTAAAGTCGAATATCCAAGACACCAAGGTAATACTCTGTATATGATGGGATCAGAAAGGCGTGCTGTACTATGAGCCTCTAAAACCCGGTGAAACCATTAATGGCGGAACACTACCGACAACAACTCATCAAATGGAAGCGAGCGATTGCTCCGACTAGACACGAGGCAATAACTTTTCATCATGACAATGCTCAGCCTCACGTTGCAAGATCGGTTAAAAGCTATTTGGAAAATAGCCAGTTCAATAGCTTCAGATGGGCAATATGTACCCTGAATTACAATATTGTGCACGTTTCTCTTAAATAAACGTTAAAATTTTGAAAAAATTCACGAATATACTCAAATACCCAATAAATAACTCAAATGAGATAAATGTTATGTAAACTCAACCAAAGAAGCTGATTTGAATATATAGGCTGTATGAGGAAACATTAACCCAAAATAACTCAAATCATAATACATTATTAGAGATATGTGTTTAGACTAAGATTATTCATATTCACGACTAAACGAAATTATGTTAATAAAAATGTAACCGACCAAGTTTCATTGAAATGTCCCAATGACCAACATAAACGGTTTATAGTTGGTGGGAGACACCCACATTAGGTATATTGAGGCTAGGAGAAGATCTGCGCTAATTGCTTACACTTTTGGCATTACTTAAGAACATTCGAGAACATGTTTTCACACAATATTTATGACGCTAACTAACACACTAACCGACATATTTGGCATGAAGTCAACTAGAACACGAAAATCATGACATGTAGTATAAGGAAGCTCGGGTAATTCATGGACTGATTTACACACATTTTCGGCGTTAAACAATGTTATATCCAATGTTCTCCGTTTTGTTAAGATATCTTAGATATTAAGAGAAAAATACCTTATGAAGTCAACCGGAAGTTCGAAAATCTTTAATAAGATGTATAGAGGCTAGAAAAAGTATTTACCCGATTTTACTCATTTTGAACCAACGGCACATTATTATCAGGAAAAAAACTCTCTAAATTTCAATAATATTAATATATATAATAATATAATATATCTCATTGAATTCAACTCGTCCTGTCATCTTCATTAGTAATTTTTTCATTGCTGCTTTACTATAGTTGATTGCCTTTTAAAATTTAATAACATTTTCGATGAAATCTGAAAAAAACTTGTACGGAACTGTATCCGAGAACTTTGATTTTGCTTTGAAAACACTAAATTGAATACTTTTTTAAAATTATGGTAAGAGAACGTTGTTTTACATGCAGTTTTTAAGGAGTGATGAGGTTACTTAACCGTGTTGATATTAATATACTATTTTAAATTATATTGCTTGTATAGAAGGAAAATTTAAGACCTTGCCTTAAAATGACACTTATCACTATATTATATTTACCTGGTGTCAAATCATATTATTTGAATTTATCATATAATATAATTTTTCTACTAGTTAGTTCGAAGTTTGACTTTTTGGGGAGAAGTCGACTTAAATATATAGCCAATTCGCAAAACTTTCGAGAATAATATATTTAGTACAAACATTTTAATCCTCTAAAGCCAACCATTTGACATTTAACGAATAACTACTTAAAAGTAATGTGCGATATTATTAAATTCATCTGATGAACAATTTTTTAGAATCTATTATATAGAGCTTTCTCGAGTCAAACATGTGATTAGTGGTGTCATTTATGGACTCGTAAGCTAAGTTGTCACTTTAATTGTTCTGTTCTAGCTGAATTCTCGAAGTGCACCTTCCGAGGGAGGGTATCTTCCATAGCAGTATGGAATACTGTCGATCATAGTGCTGAAACAATTATTATCTATTTTAAAGTATCAAAACAGATTTTAAATATTTCTATTTTATGTATCTACATACATACGTAAGTATTTTGAATAATTTTAGTACTTGTTGACTTAGTCTCAGTTGCAAGATCGACAGAGTGTATGACAGTTTGAAATTCATGAGGCATGTGCACATTTTCATTATTCGCATTTCAGCTAACCGCAGCTATAATTACGAAAATGTCATTTATTCCACATTCATTTTCACGCAATTAATTGTAATACAATCACTTTTGGCCGTAACGCACACATGTCGGGCCATCATCGATTTTGTGCGTACACCGGCGAGTCGGCGTAGCGGTGAATCTGCATAACAACAATTTTCACAATTCGGTGTCAATGTCAATAGCCTCAGATGCGGACAGCATGCGTCAATATTGGCAATGCAATCGCCAAATTAATATTAAGCTGACAAAGCGATGTTTTTAATGCACTCTCTTTCGTGACCAACACCGACCTGCATACAAATAGAAGTCAATAGCTTTGTATGTAACTATATAAGTTATTGTAGTTGTGGCTCAAAATTGATAGCGCTTAATTGAATTGTCACATATTTGGCAATTTTCAACATTTTCAAATGAATTTAAATTTCATTTTCGGCGTTCCATTCGTTTTTGTTGTTTGCCGCTCCCATAAATATGAATATAAACCTAAATATATGTTGTCATATAGATATATTTATAGAGAGATACATGTATATTTCTGTGTATATGCGCTTTTAAATATTTGCGAAATTAGTCGCATAATTAATTTCTAATCGATTAGAGTAGTGTAATTTATGCGCCGCCATTAGTCGAATTGTGTAAGTAGTGGTGTAAGTTAAAAATTACACTCGAAAAAACATTCGCATTAAGAAATTTTAATTAGCTAATTAATTTAGCGGATTTTGGTAAATATGGTATATAAGCACTAAACGCCGTCGGCGTAGCAGCAGTCTGCCAGCTTCTCAGCGATTGCAAACTGGCAAAGCTATTTCTCTTGTAAATTATTATAATAAACAAGTAAGGAAGCACAATGTCAAGCGGAACCGAATATTTAATTATCTTGCAATTTATCATGCAAAATGTTGCGTATAAAATTCGTATGCGTATTCAATTAATCTGCATTTTACGTAACATACTGACCTAATTTAATACAGAATGTTTACTTTAAAGTCGAACTCACTTTCAAAAATCTGTCTATTCATCTTTTAAGTGCTAGATAAGTTATGGACCAATATGCACCAACTGTACTAAATTACAACTATCTATTGGCTAAAAGTTGTGAGAGCGACGCAAGTCAAATCACCAAAGAATAGTGTAGAGTTATGCTACCATGTTTGGTATATTGTATCCCACTCTATTAATAGGCAATATCCAACAAGTAGAAAACACTGGTTTCTTTGTGAATTTTTTTTTTAATAGGCATTTTTTAAATTAATAATTATATAAAAAAATGTATTCTTACAGAATTTGATGTACTTAAATAATCGGTGGTTCATTTTGAAACATTTTGGATTCGTTTGGTGCTGTAGCCGATTGGAGCACTACCGCGAAAAAGGTGTCTAGCTGTGAGGAAGATTTTTCTGCTTAAAATGATCTCAAAGTCAAAAACCAAAAAAAAAATTATTATTACTATAGATGCAGATATGGCCAAGACAAAAACCAAGGATTTATTAAACAGGTCCAGCAAAAGTAAATACAGACTTACAGCTGTATCCTATAACTATACTTGCCGCAGCTGCAAACTCAAAGGAAGTAAGAAAACGGTTCTATAATTCGTCTCTGAGTGCCCAGCTTTGTCACAAATTCGACATCGAACTCTTGGAATCCATCAGCTACTAAAATTTGAATGTCTATCCACAAAAAGCATAACAGAGTTTTGAACACAAGGATGAAACGTGATGACTAGGTTTAAAGGCCTTATGATACTTTATCAAAATGGCGGCTCTAGCGTTAATTGCGCCCGATAATTTTTTTATGTAGTAATTTTAGGCCAATATTCTCGTTTCTGTTGGAAGCGTTGGATAGACTTACGAATCTGTACATTAGAACAAGAATCCCGAGGGATTCGACGGTCGGCACTGCTCTGCACGATGCAGTGTCATGGCTGGATGGAGCTCTTATCTACAAGGGATTTGCATCTCACACCTTCCACCTGTTGATAAGGTCAAATACTTTGGGATTACCCTTGATAAAAAGCTTGCATGGAGATCAAATATTGAGGAGAGCGTAAAGAAGGCATCGGTTACCTTATACTGCTGTAGAGGAGCTATAGGGAAGAGGTGAGGACTCTCCCTAAAGTTTTCACCGTAGTTTCTCCGCTCACATTATGACGAGGGATATGTCGCTGGAGAAGTGACGCAGTGAGCTTTTGCACAGATGGGTCGTAGCAAGGAGGAAAGGTTGAATGGGGAGTCTTCTCTCCATCTTGCCATAATTGTCATTGGCCATTGTCCAATAGGCACTCATGTTGTAAGGCTAAAAATCGAGTCGGAAACAAACTGTCACATTGGTATGGAAGAACGTGAGGTGGAAACTTCCAGGCACTTTTTCCGTCATTGCCCAGCTTTTGCAAGACTGAGGGTAAAACATCTCGGCAGTCATACCTTCGGCGAACCAGGAAGCATAGCCAAAACTGATATTAGCCACCTCAAAAAATTGTGATCGGTTCAAAGTGCTTTGTCGTTTAAGGAAGGTCTTTCTGATACATATTATAGCAGTTTTACGTACCAAAACAGACCGGCTATAAGCTGTCCAAGTGAGATCCCTATTAGGATCGACCATTTGACCTAACTTAACCCTTATAATATTTTCTTAAGTGTAGATTCAATTTCGTGCAAAAATTTTTGCTTATTTAACTTACGTGCATAACCTTGACTTCTGGCATAATATAATTTTGAAAGTTCCAAAAATTTCGTTTAAAAAGAAAGCTTTCAGCTTTCGAAAAAAAAAAAGGTATACATTTTGTTACCTTCTCGAGTTGTTTCGTTTCCAAAAAGTCCAAATAGGAAAAAAACATGTTAATTAATTTTGATTTTTATAATTTATTTAACTGTTGTTTTTGCTTACATCGATACTTAAGTATTACTAATTTTAGTATCATCTTCAATGCATTTGTGTATATTCAATTGATTCTTTAAGTTCAATGCTTAGTTTATGTGTTAGTAAAATCTTGTATATACAGTGCTACAATTAGATACAATATTTAAATTCCATTTGCAAAAGTCAAATTTAAAATATTACTAATTTCTCAACTCTCGTCTCTCATACATATCATTTTGTTTCGCATGTTTGTCATTTCATTTCAAATCGTTGGTGCAGTCTTTGTAATCATTAACTGGCATATTCTCTTTATATATGTATATATAGATCTATGTACGTATGTTTACATTTATGTTTGTATGTGTGTCTATGGTTGCTACGTACAAAGTAAAATCAAATAATAAAGGCCTCATTGCTGTGTGCGCCGCGCGCCTTGTCGCCACCACGCCGTTCTGCGCTCATACGAAAAGCCTGATGTGATAAATCAAAAACACATTTGTGTGATTAGCGAAGTGAGGAAGATCGCAGCGTTTGATTGTGCGATACAATGGCGACAATAACATATGTACATGGCTAAATGAACTCGTACCTACATCGCTCTGTATGGATGTGTGGCTGTTTGTTGGCTTGTACAGGACAGTGAAAAGTAGCGCTGGATATCCCTTAAGCCTTATAAATTACCACCACAAGTCAGACAGTAGAGCAAACAGCGACAAACCGTTCAACAGAATGATCAGACCATTATACATTCTACTTACAAATACACATACAAGAGCACATACATATATAAACACAATGATATATATATATATATGTATATATGGTGAGTGTAATGCTTGTAAGTATGCCGATATGTTAAGTCATGTGGTCGCTAAGCCCGCAAGTCGGTGTTGGACTGCTGGTCGAAGTTGAGCGGATATTAAGTGCCGGCTGCCTGACTTGGCTGGTTCGTTAGTTAGCTGGCTGGTTGGTCACCAGGCAGCTCAACTCCACTCAACAGCACTCGGTGTTGCGCGCGTTTTCACTCGATGCCAGGGCGAGGGGAGCCGCGCTCATATGATTTATAGAAACGAGACAAATCTTTGATGGCAGAGCCATCAATTGTTTCACCTTGTCGCAATGTCGGCATCGGATGCGCTAATGCAATGCAGAGCACAACAACGACACCAAAACTAATAACAGCAACAACAACAATAATGGCAACGACAACAGCAACATCAATACGATTAACATCAAATACATACATACATATGTACGAACACACGCCACCGCAAGCGAGCCAATCCAAGCCACTCTTTGACACCCATGGCACTTATTCCATTCAACGGCACTTCACCACTTTACCACTTTACCACTTCTCTCTCGAGTCCATTCGGCCATTCCATTCGTCCATTCCATCTCATTCCATTCCACAACACACTAGAGCACAGCAAAGCATAGCACAGCACAGCACACAATCAAGAGGCACCACATCAGCAACAATGTTGCACTGACAAATGACACTTCACCAATTAAGGTCAGCGTTTTAAGCAGATTAATGGAATCGCCTTTGTACTCGTATTTTTCGTTTTCGTTTTCGTTCTTGTCTTCGTGTCTGTTGTGTTGTCTCCTTTCACATTTTTCATGGAAATTGGCTCACCTGTTATGCCAGTATCGTTAATGCTGGATGTGGATGTCGAGAAGCCGGGCAATTTGCGCCAACCTTTGCGATTCCAGAAGCTCCGCGCTTTCGATTCTGTCGGCACCACCGGTCCCGGATCCTCGGCTGCACGAATTTTAGCGCAATTGAGTATGCGACGACCGCACGAGGCGCGTGTTAAAAAGCCCGAATTTAAATCATCATCAAGCGTCAAGTGATGCGGTTGCTTCGTGGAGGAAGAACGCTGAAAGGAGCGACAACTTTGTGTGCCATAAGAGAAATTGCAGGATGTCGACAATGGCGCAGTGCTATTGGCTTGCGTTTGACGCGTGCTCATTATATGCGACAATGCGGCATTGGTCTTGTGTATGCGCAGACTACCAATGTAGCTGGCACCGCTGCTGCCGCTAAAACCGCTATCTAAGTCGGCAGCACAGAAGGCGGCATTGGTTGAAGACTGCACTGGCGAGAGTAGCTCATCTGTGGGTCCTACTGTACCCAATAGCTCGGAGAGATTTCCATCACAGATATTATCCGCCGACGTTGAAGAGAGACGTAAGCTACTAGCGCCACCGGCGGCAACAGCGCCGATATTCGGCTGTCCGGAAGCGGTGGTAACGCTAACGGTGGGTGCGTCACAATTGGTCGGACTACTGCTGGGCGGACTTTCAGGCATCAGCATGGCCTCCACGGACAAATTCAATTCGCCCAGTATTTTATGATGACGACTCTGTACGCGGCGCAATTCCTCTTCGACCAGCGATTGATTTAGCGAACCGGCCGAATGTGAAGCGCCCGATGGCCGCAGATGATGATGATGGTTGTTGTGGTGATATTGGAGTGCCGCTTCATTTGAGGATATTTCTTCGTAGAAATTCTCACTAGTCGCACCCGCCATACTGCGCAATGTAGCGCTATCACATGCTGTGGCGCCATCTAGACCGTAATGCGCCTGATAGGCATGACGTGCGGCCGGTGATGCCAACAATTTGTTCTTCTTACCCTTGGAGAGGAGCGCGCGTATCGAGTTGGGCGGCGGTGGTGCATGATGTATCGTGTGTGCGCTACCAGGTACCATTTCAGGCGGTGGTATGTTCGAGTGACGCATCGCGGCGCCCGGCTCATAATACGCGTACGAGTAATCATGCTGTGAATGCGGATGTGTGGCGTGCGCATGTTGATGCAACAGCTGTAAACTTGTGGTCTGTTGCACCGCAGACCATTTCGCGTCCGAGTTGAACATTTCATTTGCGCGACCAAGTGTTTTGCTATTGTGACGTGATGACACTCGCGAAATGTTTATGGGCTCCTGTTCGTCGCACACTTCAATGGCGTCTGGATCGGGATCGGGGTATCGTGGCAGCACTTGCCGTCGTCCATACGGACTGACACCTATAGTAGTGCCACTTGTCGCCGATGAGGATGACGGTGAGCTGGACGCGGACGAGTGGTGGTTGGCTGTGGTATTGTTCGCTGACGACGGGGTCAAAATGGCGTTTACCGCAAGCGTAGCGGTGGTATGTGTGGCCGCGGACACCGCAGGTGGCGCCAGTGGTTCCAAGTGCGTCAGTACATTGTCGGTATGTTGTTGTGGATAGTGATGTGGTGGCAATTGTTGTAGTAGCTGGTGTTGTTGTAGCTGTTGATGTTGTTGTAGCTGTTGTTGTTGCTGTTGGTGATAATGCTGATGGTGTTGATGGTGATGCCCGATGGCATTCGCTTTGTTTGCTAACGGTGTTGTTGCTGTTGTTGTCGCAGTAGTTGGCGCTCCTGACTTCGCGCTGGCCGTGGACATTGTTTTAGTGGCTGCTGTGGTCACAGTGGCGCCGGTGGTGGCCGTTGGCGTTTTCGGTGGTGGCGGTGGATAATCTGGCGGCGGTGGAAAATGCAAACAATTGGTGACCAATTTAGGTGTTGTCGACACTGACGCTTGCCGATTATGTTCCGAATCCACGGCGGCCAATTGATACGCAATGTCGCGCTGCTGCTGCTGCAGTTGTTGTTGGTGATGATGTTGCAGTTGCTGTTGTTGCTGATGCTGATGCTGATGCTGTAGCGTCAATTGTTGAAACGGATGTATGAGCTGTTGTTGTTGCTGCTGCTGCTGCTGTTGTTGTTGTTGTTGCTGATGAAGTAGTGCTGCCGTTTTTTGCAACTGTTGTTCCTCTTGTTGTAAAAGTCTTTGCTGTTGCTGCAATTGTTGATGCTGCTGCTGCTGTTGCAAGAGTTGCTGTTGTAGTTGTTGCTGCTGCTGTTTGATTGTTTGCGCTTGCCGATGTACCTGTGGCTGTTGTTGCGTGTAGAAATTCTGGTTCGGTGGCAACTGATGGCATTGCTGCTTCAATTGTTGTAAGTCCCTTTGTGCTCGGATGGTACGTTTGCTGCCGCCTAAGCAATTCTCCATGGCACATGTTGATATATGACAAAAATGTGGCAATGAAGTTAACTCCTGTTCTCCCACTGGCTAATGATATGGCAGTTTGTGTTGACGTTTAAGTACTCAAATTGTACGATTATGGCGCCTCAAGTCTTTTACCTCACTACCTTCAATTCCTCCTTTCGTTCTTCTCTTGCATTCGCTGCGTGCGCTGAAACGAAGAAAAGAAATGAATTGCTTACAATAAATATAACAACTTGGGTTAATGGAGAAAATTGTAAATACTTGTCGTTTGAATACTCGCTACGCTGGCTGTTGCTAGTTGTTGCTAGCGAAAAACAGCATAGAATTGTAGCAAGCAGCTCAGCGCCGAGAAGCAATTAATTTCTTGTAATTAAGCGATAAAGACAATTCCGCAGGCTTTCAAATAAACAGTTGAACGATACCTTCTATTTGCATTGTCAATTTGACAGACGTGCGGGCGTTGTGAGAGGAAAATGTAAACTATTGTGCTTTTGAGACTTGAAGCATATCACAGATAATACTGTTGAGAGATAGACAGATAAGCGTAGCTCATTTAAGTTTCCTCGACTTACAACAATTTTACTGCCTAATTTTTAGTGTACTGCCTAATTTTTAGGCATGAGAAACGGCGATAAGCTCAGTCGGACATTTGATGGCTAAACAGATAATGTAAAATACTCAGTCTGTGAAGTCACATTGCCTTAGGTTGCGAAATTACCTATGTAGGCATGCTTAGATCTTCAAGTAAATTTAAAATTTCGTTAATTTCTTATTTTTTTTTGTTGTAAATTTTCGACTGTAATTTCCTATCTGCTCTCACACCAAATTGGTAAAGAAAATTTTAAAATATTGATTCCAAGATGGAAATGTATTGTGAAAGTTAAATAATGAGTCTTTAGAGAGGAAATTCCCATATAGAATACAATTTTGATGCGACTTCCAGAAAAAAATCGCATTTTAATTTTTTCAATTGGAGCTTTAACCAAACGCGCCATAGCTTTTATACAGCAACTTTTTTATAAACGATCAACAGTAACGTAAACTGTATTTTGGATTTCTCTTAGCACTCGCCGCAACTAAATTTAAGGCTGAGCAATTTTTTTTACCCAATACTGAACTCAGTGCTTTCATTACTTGATTCTCTCCTTTAATATTCCATATTAATTATTTATAAATATATTAAGATACACTTAATACTCTTAAAACCTTAAAATTGCATAAAGATGGCAAAGAACGTAATACTTTGAAAAAGAATTTAAATAAACTTTTTTTATTCACTTAGCTTCAGAAAGTGAAATCTTTTATCAAGTACTACCAATATTTGAAGTGAAATTTATCAAAAGATCTTGAGAATTTACGCTTTGTAAAGAAATCAATTAAATTTAAAACACATTCAACACCAGGTAGCTGCAAATCAGTTGAGCTTTTATTAATATAATATAATATAATATATTGGAACAAAATGAACGCATCTTTCAAGGAAAATCAGTATACTTCTGACATTATTGTTATAAGAAATAAAGAAATAAACATGGGGTTGTTAACTACTATTCAACAAAACTCGCATTGATATAAGCTTATTAGAAGGGCAAAGGTTTGACGTTGTATTTTTACCTTATAAATAAACTGAAAATCGTTCTGAGAGCAGAATCCTCTTTTGAACCTCATATATATTTATATAGTAGAAGAGTAAGGTTAGATGTGTTTTTATGAGTTTGGCTGTTTTCGTTAATTTAAAGAAATGGATCAGACCCGTGAATTCTTGGCCAAAAACAATACTGACAAGATACCACAGCGTTCATATTAGCCAAACATGGCTCGGTGTGGCTTTTTCCTATTTCCAAAAATAAAGGGAACCTTTTACAAGATAAATGAAAAACGCTGAAAGAGCTAAAGGCTATTCCAAAAATCAAGTTTGAGAAGTGTTTCGACGATTAGAAGCTGGCATAAGTGCATAATATCAAATGGGAACAATTTTAAAGGCGTACATGAAGAAATCACATTGTTTTCTTCAAACACACAAAAAATTGTATGTACTCTATTATACCATAATTTATAAAATTCCAGTAGCATAAAATGTTTGGTATGAGTATGAGTTATTTGGAATGTGAAACCCAACAAAAGTCCAAAAAAAATTCTTAAAATTATGGGATATGTACAGAAAAAATACTTTATCAACTTATAAGTATATATTGTATAAATAATTAAATAATAATGCATTAACAACCTACGAGAATTATCGATAATTTTCATATAGCTAAATATAATACAATAATTTAACTACTACAGTGGAAGGCGTACAGGGTATAAAATATTTTTTGTCGGTAACAGACACCAATTCTTATATTTGAGATATGTGTATAGCTGTCTTCGATGCGCTGAGCGTTACTCTCCTGCGAATCGAACAAACTATACCAGATGCTCAAACCAACGGGCAACACTTGTGGTGCAATACTGCGTTAACATGTCTTCTGACGTATGTACAATAGTGTTATGATTCTTTCTTAGTGTAGAAGTTCTATGATTTTGCGTTAAAAGACGTTACTTTAACCATTTATTTTGGTTTTCTCTAAAGTCTTAGATATGAGCAATCGAAGACAGCTTGTGTTTATTTCATTTGTCTTTTTAGTCTTTATTTGAACAGAACACAATGGAAGGTCCGCCTTTATTAGCCACAATAAAATATTTGTTTTTTTGAGCTGGCGTACACTTTGCCTTGCAAATACCCACCCCAAAAATAAACCGGGGGCATCAAAACAATAAATATATTTAGCTAGTCAATGTCATCTCATTTTCATAACTAAATTAGTGAATTTTTTCTGCGGATATCGATTTCGCTTCTTTAGTTTATTTTGCTTCCAAAAATGGTCCTCAGTCAGTTAGTGGTCAAGCAATATCTTTTCATGGATTTTGAATATACTCTCTGTTCCAAATATGGTAATTTTGCTGCTTAATTCTACCAGATAGTGTGAAATTTTAATTAAAAATTATTTGTAATAAAAAACGATACTATTGCTGCGCGTTATTTAGACGGTTTTTGATTTTTTTAGTCCAGTTTCGCTTGTACGGAGAATAATTTCTAGTTTAACGACAATTTTTTAGTTTTAGGTTTCATCCACGGAGAAGGCCGGAACCACTGCAGCAGTGAAGGACTTTGTTTAGCGGCGTGGAGATCTCATAACTCAAAATATATTTAATTTAATTTTTAAATTCACTGCATATCTTTGAAGCGCGTATACCATAAATATACCCTGAAAATATCCAAACAAGCGATACAGTTGTTTTTGCTTTTTAAATTCCCAAAAATCGACGGTTCTTTAGGCTGCCACACTAGCCTCTGCCCCTAACGTAACGTATACTCGCAATTATTTTAATAACATTTTGATTGACATAGTTCGAAGATGTAAACCACCTATATGACTAAATTTTGTTATTGAAAATTTCAGAATGACCCACATTATAAATCACAATATCAATATTTATTGTACTAAATACATTTATGGAGTGTTGGGTTTTTGTTTTGAATTAATTGCTGGGAACCCTTTTCCATTAATTCCATCAATATAATAAACCAATAATAAACTGTCCATATTCTCACCAAGGTGGGGTTGTTTACCGAGCAAGATTCCAAATTAAACCACCCTTCCGTTAGAAGGCCTTTCACGGTAAATGAAATTAAATGCCAGCGACACCCTTTCAACAAATTGACAAACCAACATACATACATATGTAACTACAACACCAATATAGAAATGTTATTAATTCTCTCCGCAAAGTAACCCTTTTACTGACGCACCGCCCTCTTGAAAGCGGCACGAACCAAATAATGATGGACTACTAATGTTAGGAGTACACATACAAAATATTGACAAAAAAGATACACACATATATATGGGTATGCATATATTCCTCCGTAAAGTCAAGTAAAACTATTTAGAGGGAGTCAAGTATCGCAACGCCACACCGATATTCTTCCGACCCACAAACAGTCCTGTCATTGTAATTAATGAATTTTTCCACAGAAACCGTTAGCGCTACAAAGAAACAAAGACTAAATTAAAGTGCGCAAAAACTGAAATAAATTAAGGAAAAAAGCGCTCTTCACTAACTTGCCTCAAACTAACGCGCCACAAATTCTGTGAATCCCTAGCAATCAAAGGCAATTTGAACGCGCTACGTATTATTGTTTTTATCGTTTGTTGTTGTTTTTTTATAACGCTTATTTTTTATTATCAAGACCGAAGGCGTCTACGGCAGTTGACTTTCAATAAAAAAGCGCTGCTAATTACGATTGTGAATCCGCAATGATACGCTGCCACGCACAAAGCGCAAGCACACAAGCACACACACAATATAAACATAAAAAATCACATACATACATATACGAGTATATAAGTGAGCATGTAGGTGTATGTACACACCAGTGTGGGTATATGCGCGAGATGGATGACTGGCTGAATATATGGGTTGACTAGGCGGTGGACTTGGGCTGGCGTGCGTGCACGCTTTCAATTACAGCCTCTTGCCGATGTAATGAATGAAAACAATTTGTCGTCACCGCCAGCGCCTTCGCCGGCGATACACCACCACGTGAGCGACAGCTACAACGACAACAACATTGACATTACCACAGTAAACACATACGCGCACGACACACCGCACCCCGCACTGCACCCACTCCCATCTTGTGAGCCTATGTATGAAGGACTTCAGACAGGCATGTAGCTTTGTGTGAGAATAGTGCGCGCGTCAGCGCCCCGCGCCCACAGCTGGCAATCGATGCGTTAGCCTCGTCTCGTCACGCGCTTGTGCTGAGGGAACGATGTGTGTGTTTAGTTCGGGGTAAACATTTGGGTGGGGAATTAGGAGCAGCGCGCACATCCATATATTGCATGCCACATACAGCGTGTATGTAAAATAGTGCGCGTGTACGAGTAGTTGTCGCACGAACAAAGGCAAGACATAGTCATTCATTCTTCTTTTTAGAATCGCTATGAATTGCAGTCAAGATTAATTGCTGCTAATTAAGAGCCTTTGGATTTCACACCACCACCAACACCGCTGCCACTACTACCAGGGTCCGTTCGTCAGTCGGTGTATTCAAAGCCAATATGGCATGTGCCTACACTACCGCTATCATCTTTTACTCTAATCCCTTCGCCACAAAGTCTGCAATACGCCGTTCAA